GCAAAATCAGCATGGTACTGGCAAACAAGCAACAGGACTGAAGATCAGTGGAACAGATTAGAAGATACAGACAACTACAAGGACATTTGACCCATCTTGGCTTTGACAAAGGGGCCAAATGCATTCACTGGAAGAAAGATAGCCCCTGTAATAAATGGTGCTGAAAAACTGGCTTCCCATATTCTGAAGACTAAATCTAGATCCATTTTATTACCACGCGCTAAACTAAAGTCAAAATGAATCAAAGATCTAAATATTCAAACAGAAACACTAAATCTGCTGGAAGATAAATAGAAATCTTAAAGGCATAGGAGTAGGCAAAGAGTTCATGAACAAAATGCCAACTGTCTGGGAAGAACTTCAAAGAAGCAACAACTTGGATTCTAACATTAAAAAGTTTTTGCACATCAAAAGAAATCACCAAGAGAGTGAAAAGAAAATCCACAGAATGGGAAAGAATTTTAGTCACCTGTCCCTTGGACAAAGAACTGCTACTTAGAACATATAAAGAATTAAGATATCAGGCTCCCCACATTCAAAGACTCAATATAAAAATGGGTATCTGAGATGAACATGCATGTCTCAGATGAAAAAATACAAATAGTAAATAAATACATGGAGAAATATTCACTGGTTATTCGAGAAATGCAAATTAAAACAACACTGCAATTTCATCTCACTTCAGAAAGAATGGCTGTAATCAAGAAATCAACCAATAACAAGTGTTGGCAGGGCAATAAAGGAAAAGGAACCTTTCTCCACTATTTGGGGGAGTGTAGAGTGGTACAACCACTGTGGAAATCAGTGTGCAGATTCCTCAAAAAACTAGAATTGGAGGTCCCATTCAATTTAGCTATTCCCTTTCTGGGTATTTTCCCAGAAGAATTGAAAACATCACGCCACAGTGATATATGTGCACTCATATCTAGAACAGCACAATTTGAAAAAAAAAAAAAAAGAACAGCACAATTTATAATAGTTACATCTTGAAAATATCCCAAATGCCCACTGACTGAGGAATGGATAAAAAAGATGTAGTCTTTTTATGCAAGGAAGTATTACTCATCTATAAATAAGGATAAACTTGAGGCTTTTATAGGTAAATGGATGCAACTTGAGACCATACTCATAAGTAAAATATATCAAACTCACATGTGTAAATATTGTATTGTCTCCCTACTGTAAAAAAAACTGAAAGTGTAGTAAGATCCAAAATGTACAATATTGTGAAAATGAAAGGAAAAGAAAGTGCTCAAAAGACAAGAACAACTGGGATAGGGGGAAAGAGAAAAGAAAGAAAGGAAAAGATTATATGTGGGAAGCCCTGTAATTGGCTGCCACCTTATATCTGCAGGTCGCGCCACCTTAACTCCCTCTAGGAGTTAAGTGGTAGTTAAGCAGCACCTTGCCTACCTAGCTTGCTTGGCCTATTCAGGAATTATGCTAATCAGCCTGTGATCTATAACCTTCAGTCTTGCCACTGTTGCTAAGTTACCTGCTGACCTCTCAGAACCCAACTCCCTCTTCCTCAATACCCTATATATTTGATACTCCTTCCTTGAATAAATGAGACTTGATTGGACTTCTTCATCTTGTCTCTGCTCTTTGTGTCTCTTGTCCCCTCTTCATCCCCACTCCCCCTCTAGGGTCTCTGTGGATTTACCTGCAGGCCAGGACAGTTATGCATATATATACCTATATATATGCATATATATATATGCAAGATAGATAACTATACTATTAATCTCTGTAAGTTCATCAAAAAGAACTGCTTATATTTTTATTATTGTTTGACCATTTTTATGACTAAATATTTTAATCTGAACAACTATTTTTTTTTTTTTTGGTCGTTTTCCTTTTTATCGGTACTGGGGATTGAACTCACGACTGCCTGCTTGCAAGGCAGGCACTTATGCTGCTGAGCTAAATCCCCAACCCCCTGAACAACTATTTTTAAGATAACAATATGCAATGTATTCACTAGTGTTAATTTCCTACTTTTTTGAAATCTGTATCATTTTTATCTTTTTTTGTTTTGTTTTAAAATAAAAAATAAAATCTAACATTCTGCAAAAAAAAGGTGGTAAAAGAAATCTATTGATCCATCATTAACATCTGGTAGAATCATCCTTCAGCAACAAAGGAGAGCCGGGGATTTAGCTGAGTGGTATAAGCACCAGCCTTGCAAGCGCATGGTCATGAGTTCAGTTCCTGGTACAAAACAAAAACAAAAAAACAAAGGAGAAACAAAGTGACAGATTGTATATCCCAAATTTGGCCATAATGATACATGTAACTGGAATAATCAACCCAATTTTAAACTAGATGAAAACAGAGATAACAAAAAACTTGGGGAGAATGAACCATAAGCCCTTCATGCTGGTATGGTTGGGTTTAGGTTAGTTTGCTAAGGTTTAGGTATCATTTTCTCAACCTAACAAGAGGCACCCCATAGTAATCTTGACTGTTGGGGACCACAGTGACTGATTTTGCATACTTCCCTATGGGATAAATGGTGGTTTCAGATTATCGCTATCATCCACACGGGATTTCCCATTAACTCTTTAGAGATGGGCCATCTTCTCCTATCCACTAAAACTAAACCTAAGAACACTAAATTTAAAAAAAAACGCTCCAGGGCAAGATCCTTCTTAGCACAAAACCATCTCTATCCTCTTGAGTCATCCCAAGGTAATAATGTTGAGTCTTAGACCTCTGAGTCTCCCACCAAGTTTTTTTTCTACTGGAGATCAAACGCACGACTTTGCACTTGCCAGGCAGGTGTTCATGCTGCTGAGCTAAATCCTTTGCCCCATCTCCCACCAGTTTGAATTTCCCACTAACCCTGCCTATCACTGGATACACTCAATGGTGGCTGTCTTGGAGAGTTGTTCTCTTGGTCTGTCTGGAGACATCAACTTCCCAGCCACTCATCATGTATTACTAAATTGGTCTGTTTCTTATTTTATTGTCTCTCGTACCCTTGATACAGGCAACTGGGGGGCTTAGCCAGGTCCCCTATACTAAATTATCAGTGTGCATATGCTTTGAAGACAAGAAGGAGCTTGTGGGACTTCGCAGATGACCCTGGGCCACAGGGAAGAACAGAACATCCCCAGCCAGGACAGACAGCCAGAAAAAGGGCCACTGTCAGGAAGATTCAGTGAGGTGCCAAGGCCAGGGCGCAAGGCCTCAGTGAATTGGTGTGATTTCCTTGAACCGATGTTGAAGTGACATTTCAACGAAGAGAAGGAATTTTTTAAAAAATTTAAACACACAGTATTTATTTTTATCAGACCTTGAATCGTCCTCTTTGGCCTGCTAATATGCCCCGTCTTGAATCCACAGTTAGAAAACCACATCACCTTTTTTATATTTCATGGCCTGCGTTGTATTCACCCATCTTTTACTTTTCATCCATCTGGAACTTCAGGCAGTTTATAACACCGGCTTACTCTGCCTCCCAACTGGGAGAATCTCTGCTGCCATCTGACTGGTGGGTGCTTCTCAGTCCAGGATGAATTAATTACAAAGCAGAAAGTTAAAAGATTGAGCAAAAGTACTTGCTGTAGAAGTCTGAAAGCAGAAAGCAGCACTTACTGTAAAGTGAGAACAAACAGCTCCCAATACTGAGAAGAGATGCGAGTACTTTTTTTTTTGTACCAAGGATCAACCTTCCGATCAGGGATCAACCTTATCATCTCGTGCTTACCAGGCAGGCGCTTATGCCACTGAGCTAAATCCCCAGCCCCTGTCTTTTGTTGTTGTTTTTTTCTGTTTTTTGTTTTTTTGAGACATGGTCTCGCTTTGTAGTTCAGGTTGGCCCTGAACTTTTTATATAGTCCATTGAGGTTGGCCTTGAACTCACAGCCATCCTCCTGTCTTGTCTTCCTGAGTATGCGGATTACAGGCAGGTGCCACCACAACTGTTTTTTTTTTTTTTAAAGAAGTTTTTAAACACAAAATGACTACATCTCAGTCAAGTTAAATCAATTTATGGGATTAGAAGCAGGAAAGGTAGCTATTTACAAGTGGGCCTGAAAGGAATTGGGGAGAAACTTTGCAAGCACCATTGACTGTAACTTTAAACAGAACAGTGATATCCCTCAGACGAGAAAGTATTTTGATGAGTAATAGCAATATGTTTTACTGTAAATTTTTTTAAATTTACATGTTCACAAGCTTTAATCACACCAAATATAAATGAGAGGATTTTTGGCACAATAAAAGGAAAATATAAAGAAAAAATGGCCTTTATTCTAAGAAGGTGGAGAGAATCCCATGGGGGGGGGCTGGCTTTCTGCTGGAAATGTGTTGTGGGGGCATATACATAGTTTCCGGCTGAGCGGAAAGTGACCTCAAGGTAAACGTCCCTGGTCCGCCCTCCCACTGCTGTAATATCGTATCTAGGGCAAACTTTCATTAATGACAAAAATCAGTTCATCAGGATGACATAACAGTGTGTACTTAATAACAGAGCTTCAAAAACTTGAAGCAAACACTGACAGAATGAGAGATCTAGAAATATCTACAACCATGGGTAGACTTTCAACACCCTTCGCTGAACAATGAAGGAAAAGAAAAGCTTTAGATGGTCTGAAAACATCACCACTTATACTTAATAATAATAATAAACGTGGGTGACCGGGTGTGGGGCTGAGCTGGCGGGCGCTCTGCCTGTGCTTCCCGTGCAGGCGGTGGGACCGGAATCCTAACGCGAATCTCCCCTCTTGGCAAGAGCACGTGATACAATCACAACAGCACGCAATGTGGGCCCTTCAGGCTCGTGGACGGGGCGGGGCACAGAAGCTAAGAAGCAGGGGTGAGGTGTCAATGGCAGCGCTAGGACAGGATTTCACATTTATTTTGTGGTGCGATCCTGAGTTCGGTTCTGGGAAGAAAGCCAGTCAGAGCCGGCTTTAGCCATTTAGCTACTGCTTTCCCCCAAGTCTCGGTGAGCCTTTCCTTTCATGGGCAAGGCGGGGCGCCGGGCGAGGCAGGGAGCCCTTAAAGGGATGCGATTGCGAAATCTCGGGGAGGAGGGTTACTATGGCGAGCGCGGGACGGGGCGCGCGGGGGAGGGGCTGTGGGGTATTAAAGTACAGCGCGCAGTCTCAGCGCCCAGATTGCGCCGGGACAGGACGACGCCGACCAACTCCTGGACACCGCGAGAAAGTCACCCCTCGATCTTCCTTCTAGACACCGCGAGGAAGTCGCCCACATCTTCCTCCTGGACACTTCGAGAAAGCCGCCCTTCTCCCATGGCCCCGGCGCATCCGGCGCGGGACGCACGGGCAGGGCGCAGGCCAGCTTTCGCCGGGGCACGTACTGTGGCCCTCCTGCTCCTCGTAAGTCCCCGCGGGGCCCCTGCGCGGGGCACGGCAGGACCGCGGACGAGGCGCCAGTGCCAGTCCGGGTCACCTGTGCCTGCGGGCATGTCCTGGGCGTGTCGGACGTATGCGCGGGAAAAGCGGCCGGCGCCGGACGCACCGGAGCTCGCAGGGAGGTCAGGCCGCAGTGGAGCGGGGCGGGGGTCTTGGGCCCCACCGCGCCCCTTCGGGTTTAGCGACGCGCTTAGGGCGTTTCAGGGCAAGTGTACACTCCAGGTCCCCCGCGCCTGGCTCCGCGTTGGGGAGCCGCGGGCGGCTCACTTTGCCCGGCTCTCTCCTCTCCGACGTCTGCCTTCCACAGGTGGACGCACAAATGGCGAAAAGTAATTTTCCCAGTCTACATTTCCAAGAATTCCACGCCGGGGATTCTGTCGCCAGGCCTGGCAGCCGAGGAGGCTTTGTGGGATTCCCCCTCCGCCGCCCGGCGGTGGTGGTGTTTTTTTGTTGTTTTGAGACATCTTACTAAGTCGCTAAATCGCATAAATTGGACTGGAGTCTGGCGATCCTCCTGCCCCCTGGTGCTGGATTCCAGGTGCACACCTCCTCCACCCAGCGCCCTCGCTTGCGTTTCATTTCCTTTCTACCCTTGCAATTCAGCACGTTATGGGCCCATGCGCCTTTCCAGACTGATGGACCTGCCTGCTAGTTGCACTTTAACAAGCTCCTTTTGACTCCTGTTTTTTTTTTTTTTTTTTTTTTCTGGCATTTTTTTTTTTTTTTTCTTCTTCTTCTGACTTTGTCTTCTTGTTTAGTTCGGGCTGGGCAAGCGATGTTTACTTCGCGCTGGGCAAGCGAGCCACCTTCTTGGGCCTCCCGAGTGCTGGAATTAATTACAGGAGTGCGCCAACGCTTTTTAAAAGTTACAAACCAAAAAAAAGTTTTTTAATTTAAAAAAAAAAAAAGCAAGGCTAGAGATGTAGCTTAGTGCAAAGGCTCTATATTCAGCCCTAAATACTGAAAATAATAGTAATAATTAGTTTTTTAAAAAAGTTACAAACCTGCGCAGTAAACCAGCCTGTATCAGGCCGTTTCTACGCCTGCACGGTTACTATCCGGAGGTTCAAGGGCCTGGCCCTTGCTCACAGGAAGGTCTTGCTGGCAGCTGACCTGTGGGAGAGAGAGAAAGAGATCTCTGGCAAAAAGAGACACCCCAAGAGCCAGGAAAGCCGGGCTTGCACTTAAAATTACAGTGTTCTGGAGAAATGACCGGGGATTTCCTTCATCCTGCCCAATGCCAGTGGTTCTGAGGACCGAATCAGTTCCTCTGCGTGTCGCTCTTAGGAGGCTTCTTCACCCTTGCCATTGACACGCTGAGATCCAGTTTCCAGAGTGATCCCTTGAGGGTCACGCTCGCAGGCACCGTCTGAATCCACAGCACAACGTGGGCTGGTGAAATGCACAAGGTTTTCATTGAACAGTAACACTAGACCCAGGAAATTGATAATATTTTTAACCTCAAAATAGTCACCAAATTTTTTCCCTCTTTTTCTTTTCTTTTTTTTATACCAGGGATTGAACCTTGTGCTTGCCAGGCAGGGGCTTATGCCTCTGAGCTAATCCCCAGCCAATAGTCACCAAATTTATGTGAAAGGATTTTGCCCTAGATAGGACATTATGGCAGTGAGAGGCGGAACCAAGGGACTTGAGGTCACTTTCCCCGCCCCTAGGCAACTTACCTGTGTCACTAAAAGAGTTCCAGTCCGCTACACGAGCATCAGCTATGTCACATTTAGGCACCATCCCAGTCAAAAGCTGTATCTGCCCCCCACACCACGTGTCCCGCAGAGAAAGCCAGACCTGCAGTGGTCATGGGGTTTCTCTCCTCAGTTCTTAAAGGCCATTTTTACTTTATATTCGCTTTTTTCTTTACTGTGCCAAAATCCGATCATTATGTATTTTACTTATTTTTTAGCTGCCTAGTTTTACTCAACTACCCCACAAATATACCCCACGTGAATGGCTGTCTCAATTCTGCAAAGTTTGGAGAGAGTATTTGTTATCCTTTGTGGATTCAGTTGTTTAGCCTGAAAATGTCACCTTTTTCTCTTTACAAACTCCCTAGAGTTTTTCCTCTAATTTTGGTAGACAGGGCTCCATCAGAATAGAAAAACCCTCAGGTGAAAATTAAAAGTGTGAACACTGTATTCTGATGTACAAATTTTTGCTGGTTACATAGGCAGTTAGTTTATCAAATGGCACTAAAGGAAATCTCAAGCCAAGGGAAATTATTTATTCAACAATTTCTGATCAGAGAAAATTATATCACAATAGCTCCAGGCTTTTTTTTGTTGTTGTTACCGGGGATCGAACTGGGGCAGACACTTGACACTTGCGCAGCTGAGCTAAATCCCTGGCCAGGCTAACTTTTAAGATATGATTGACACTGATACTGTATATTTGATACATGTCAAATACTATGTAGTGCCAGAATTTACAAGTTCATGCATTATTGCCTCTAAGGATATCATGCTTGAGATAAAATCTCCCCCAAGCACTTGTGACAGCATTTCATTTGGGGGCAGTGTTTTATACAACAATAATCCAGTTACTCTGCCATGTTAAACTAAATATCATCTCTTACTGAAAAACATCTTAGCCCATTGGTGATTCAAAGTTTCAATTGTGGGACTTAAAATGCTCCCCTTTCAAAAATACAGTCAGAATAGGTAACCTCTGTACAAAGAAAAAGAAAACACTCGGGGTGACCGTGTTCCAGAGTACTGTGTTACTTCTAACTCATAGTCACTAGCTGCTGGTTTTCAGTTTTATTCATCCCTTTGTCAGCAGTGATGCCTGTGTTTATCCAGCTGAGTTTGTGGCATATGATTTCATTTTGAGAATGACACTAAATTTCTTTAAGTGGTTGCACTATGGGTAGCAGCAGCTATATTTCTAAAGTTTAGCAATTTAGAGCCATGTTTTACTATACCATTTTTGTTGTATATTTAGCAATTACAGTAGTTACAAAAGGCTGTTTGCCTAAAAAGAGATCTTTCACTTTCCTTTAAACCTATGGAATTAGTCAGAGGTGTTACCTTCCCTGCTTCCTTCCTTCCTTCCTTCCTTTCTTTCTGTTTATTTATTGGTGGCCCTAGGCATTAAGCCCCAGGGCCTTCACACTGAGCTACATCCCCAACCTGTTTTGTTGTTGTTGTTGTTGTTGTTGTTTTCATCTTAACTCTGGGTCTCCTTAAATTGCCTAGGATGGGAACATGTGATCCTCCTGTTTCAGCATCTCAGAGTGCTGAGATTATAGATTAGTACCATGCCTGCCTCCCCCATTTCTGCTTTTATTTGTTAAGTGAGAGGTTTCAGACCAGGCCCTTAGGTATTTTAGATGGACTGCTTACTGTTAAGTAAGTAGAAAAATAAGTATAAGATAAATACTTTTTAATTCAGGTATGTCCCAGTACCCTAAGACATGTTGTGTAACTAACAAATATTACCTATTGACAGCCTAGAAAAGATGAGACTTTCTTTGGTTTCCATAATGATTTTAAGCCCGTAACGGCAGTATAAAGGCCTTGGGCCTCTACTGTAATGTGGTCCCACGGAAGGGGTTTTTTTGGTACCAGGGATTGAACTCAAGATTGTGCGCTTGCAAGGCGGGCACTTATGCCACTGGCTAAATCTCCAGCCCTAGAAGAGATGTTTAACTGAAGTGACGTCACTAAACTTTTAAAAAGTTGAGAATTTGTTTTAAGAGCAATTAAAGATTGTAAGGTATTCTAGGCAGAGAGAGATTGCAGAAAAGAGAATTGTCAGTGGAGTATGATAAATAAACTCCATAAACATAATTTTCACAATAAAAGCACACATTTTGCTAACACTATTTCCGTTAAAAAATCACCAGCTCTTCAATGTTACCTTATACTCACCCAGGATTCACAGACATGTCTGGGTCCCTAGATCCTTGCCACACTGGGTAAAGCAACATTTTTGCTTATCTAAGAGATCAGACTGACATGCAAGCATTGAGTTTGGATTCCTCAGGGCTATCAGATTTTTTTTGAAAGCATAAACCTTTTAAATTTACTTACATATTCATAATATATTCCCTAGAGTTGTGGTCACAAACTTCCCAGCTCTACCAAATTTTTATTTTTTTTCCAAATACATTTAATTTCAAGGAAAAAAGAAGAAGAAAACAAACAAACAAAATTACAAAATGCATTAATCAGGGGGCAACAATGGTACATACATTACACATTGTCACACCCAAATCATTCACCTGGAGTCCCAGAGATTTTTGAGTGTGGGGAGGTAGAAGACTAGGAAACCCCAAAGAGTTATCTTATTAGGTGGGTGATGATACAGTGTTAGTTATGAAAATTCAAACAAAGAAGTTTATCAATTGAAGGTCTGCTCTGGAGGATGAGGCAGGAGGATCATGAGTTTGAGGTCAAAAAAGAAAGAAAGGAGGGAAAAAAGGAGGAGAAGGAGAAGTTACAGGACCATACGGTAATAGCCTTGTTACTAGCTAGGTCTGAGAGATTCCTAAAGCTGAAATAAGGAATGCAAATACCACACACACACACATCTCCCCCCAACACCCAGCAGGCTCAGTGGCTTCTGTTGTGGAAAAAAAAATTTTTTTTTCCAGGACAGATCAGTAAGAGGCATGAGAAGGATTTATTAGAAATTGAGGAAGTGCTTAAAAATGAGATGTAGGTGCTCAGAAAAATGACTCATTACATTTTGGAACTGGGAACTTTCATACTTTTCTTGAAGGGGTGGAAAACCTGAGGAATCTCTTAGCAATAGCTTGATATTTTATTGCATGAATGAAGCAGATACAAATGAGCCATAGTTTCTTTTACCTTCCATCCTACGGGTAACTGTCTGAATTGTTTCTTGTGTTTAGTTTTGCTAGTTCTGATAGCACTGTAGTTCAGTTTTTATCGTGTAACTCCTTGCGAGTGGAATTGTAGGCTCTGTGGGTTAATAACTTTAGAATC